ATTTTATGGAGGTAGTTTTTTCTAGATCTTCAGGTGTCCCCGGAATGCGATTGCAGGCTTGTAGTATTATGGTCTATTTCGTTATTAGCAGTGCTCTAGTAATAGACCTAATCCTAGAATTGTAGGTTTTCTCATTGACGTGACTACGTAATCTATAAAGTCTCATGTGGAGGTCACATCATTATCTACCCTGGCTCATCGTATTCTAACAATTACCAATAAATGATGTGGAACTCATTCAGGCTGGAGATAGGACAATATATTTATTGTGAGTAGAAGCAAGTTGTACAGAGCGAGGCTGAGATGTGCCACCCAAATGGATTCAACTGAATTCCTTCTTCCCGTCTTCTCCGTCGTTTGGTTTATCTCCGCGTTAAATGTTGAACACCTATTTTCACAGTTGTCTCGTGCTCAGTTTTGAGGATTGTGTGGTTAGAACCAAACTCCACTACAAGCTCTTACGAAGTGGAATTTGGATAAAACTGCTTTAATTTAATGTCGATTAAAAATCATGCAGGTGAGGGATTAGGTATGGTCTGTTTGTCCAAACGTCAATAATTCCTACACGGGTGGCAGTCATGACCTTCTCTGGGTATCACACATAATGAAGGGGCTCACGGACTATCTGGTAGTACCTAACTGCACCGTGTGTCCGTAATCTTTTCCTGATCAACAGTACGCTATGAAACTCAGTCCCCAGTAGGAATTCCCTATGATGATGACCTCAGATAATATATAGTTATGAATGAAGAAGAGCCCAAAGATATGTTCTAAGTGATGATTAGTGTCGAAAATGGTTGCCTACCCTCTTCTTTCCTCCCTTTGCCAGCTAATGACTGGATTATCACACATGGCAATAGAAGATGATCTCGCAGCACTGTTGAAAATACAAACTATTACGTGCCAGCTCTGTGGTTTCAATACGATACTTAAAATTTCTAAACTTAACCGTTGGCGGGATCGTCAGTAACTACCTAGTGATCTTTAGTTTTTATTAGTTCCAGGATTGATATCGATCTATGAAGAAAACCACCTAGAAGCTTTTCATTAAAGTTCGAATATGACGTGAACTAATTCTAATCTAAACAGTTCCTGATCTAACTGGACAGACTGAAGAAATTGACTGATTAATTTCAAACAGTTTTTGGTTTCCACCATAACATTAACGTCTCTGTTTGTATGTAGTTATGAACATTTTCGATAGGTTTAGTTCAGTTCACTGAAGTAAATATTTCCACTGATCTGGTAGATGTGTCACTCAATCTCGTAAATTAGTTGAAGTTAGACATTAACACCAATGGATGCCGGCCGGTTTAGTGGTCTTATGATTAAGCACTCGCTCAAGAAAGTGATTAGTCCTGGGTTCCAATCTCACGAGACGGAATCGTGGATGTGCACCGCTGAGGAGTCCCAAAGTAGGACGAACCGGTCGTTCAGTACTTCCAGGTTTTCCATGGTGATCTACCTTCAATTGACTCATAATTTCAACTATTAAAACTACTTATTTAACTGTTTATTGCTTCAAAGTGATTTTGATCACATTGATAATTTGAAAATTCCGGTCTCAATCCATTTTGTAAAATGATTATTTTGAGAAATTTATGTATCAAAAATGATAACTTTGAACTATTTAATTAATTGCAAATACATTTTGTGAATAATTAGTAAATTGTATTTGTATAACTTCAAACAACAACAAAAATGTTCTAATTCAAAGAAGCTAATAGATAAGAATGAATAATTAATTGACTTTGACAAATAGCATTTTATTGGTTATGCATGAAAATGATTAAGGTCAAATATTAGTAATATTTACCGGAAACATAATTTCCCATACCAAAGACTAAATTACTCTTAGCAATACATGAATAATACTATATGGAATTCAATCACATTTTAATGACTGTTTAAAGAGGTAATGTATTCAAAAAAGACTTAAAAGGATGATAAAATGATAGAAAGTCTAGGAACTTCATGTGTTGACGAGAGCATTGAACGTGTATAGTTCATCGTCTGTTGTGATTGTCAACTGACTGTCTAGATGATTTAAATCTGTGCACATGATCGTGGCTAAACATTGAGGAATACGAAGAGAAAGTTTTCAATGACAAGGAGGCTGATGGGGTTGACTTTCCATGACTTTCATTAATTGTTTAGACAGTGATGATAAGAATGAGATAAGTGTATTGTCACAAATGGGATTTGTTTTGAAAAGAGATAAGATTGATATTACTCTGAATCATGTAAAATCAAAAACAGACTACAAATCATCATTTAAGTATCCCAGAGAGATGCTTTTGGTGGTATTGTTCCTTGATCTATGTATTCATTCATCGTTCAACATGTAATTAAAGATAATTTTGAAGACATATTCCATGAGAAGCTGGATTATCTAACGCAATCTATTCTGATCAATTATTATGGTGATAATAAGTATTCGAAATAATGTACTAACTAGGAATTTCCGAAATAGTTCAATTTATAGCAAGTAAAATTTGATAAGCACAAATGAACGTATTGTAGTTGGAATTCATCATAGGCGGGCAATCAAGTACAAAGGAATGATTAATTGATACGAACACCACATCCGCCACAACTTAAATGAGAATCTGAATTTCTGTAGTCTATTATACTTCTTCCCATTTAGTTCATTGTGTATCTGTCCGACTGCGTATTGGATGTAGACTCCGTATGATCTAGAATATACTCATTAGTATTAAAGTTAACAACCAAAATCGGAACAAACTCACCTAGTCGCTGGATTTTTATTTGATCAACATATCGCTTGTGTGTACATAAATTATTGATATCTAGAATTCAAACCATAGATTTTCGAACATTATCCTCCCACATGAAATTATGTTGGAGCTGTGTGACACGGGATCGAATCCATCAGGGGGCATCAGTTTCCTCAAGATTACAAGTACACCTTGCTGCCGAGTATTAAGTACCACGAAACCTAGGTTCAGGGTTTTCTGTTGACTACTTCCAACCACCATCTTATCTCAACAGAGTGCACACAGTGTCGAGTCACCTAGATTTGTGACCATATTGCAACTTGGTCGATGGAATTCGATTTGCACTAAGAAGGACCTGACATTGATCACCATCCAGTGATCAATCAATTGTAAAAACTTTATAGTAAAGATGATCCTAAGAACTAAAGTTGATCAGTCAAAAATCAAACAATCTATTCAATGTAAAAGAAACTGATCAATAGAAATACTCTGGTGTTATTCATGTTCAAGTTGAGCAAACTAAAATAAATGAATAATGTACAGAAAACACTCCATGTAAAATGATAGTGAAGATACAAATTACTACACATAATAATCGGTTATTGTTTATCTACAATTTCAATCTGATATGTAGATGAGGAAGATAATGATTGGTTGTTCGTTTAGTCTTCCTAATAGATAGACTAAAGGTACTAGATGAGTAATATATATTCCCATATTATATTCCCATACACATCAATAAATGTAAATGAAGAAAACTAGTCTAGCAACAGTCTATGCATTAGTAGGCCTCAACATATGCAAGAGAAAAAGCCACATACAACATAGAGAACACCAACGCAAATCACTCAGTAACAGCTACATATAATTCTTTACGAACGATTATGGTGTTGGTAAATCTATCATCTTGGGTCTTTTTTTTTTCTTATAAATTTATCAAATATCACTGTTGGAAAGGAATTCATCATCATCACTCACAATTCGGCTGACATTATAGGTTACATAGGATCAACTTCGTAGTTAGTAGATTATTGTTAGGTCTCGATAAACATAATGAATGATAACTATTGGAATCTATTTCTGGACTTATACTATATGTATATTTTTATTGTTTAATTGTTAAATAACTAAACTATTCATATTCCTCTTATTATAAGCTTTATTTTGATCTATGAACCATTATTCTATGATTTACCATTCTTGAATTATGCCCTGTCTATTAGTCACTGCCTCCCACATTCACAGTCACATTTGGCCAAATGTTGTACAAATGTTATTCTTCATTTTATGCTACGTTGTGGTCTGTTTGATTGGTATTATAAACTCACTATGTTTGAAATATAAGGATTCTTATTGCAGAGGCTGAGATTGGTGTTTTGGACTTAACTGGCTGGGCTAGGTGGGAGGCAGGACCAATCAGGACTCTAGGCTGCTCGCACGTGTTTTACACGTCCTTGGTCCGATCGATAATTCGGTGCTTCTGATTGTCGGCTTTGGGCTATAACAATTATCATCATTATTAAATTGAATAGATCTGAAATAAACATGATAGATTGACTTATAGTCGACAATTATTACAAGCTAAAGAGCATTGAACAATTATTCTGTTTTAATATATATATATATATATATATATATATATATATATATATATATATATATATATATATATATATATATATTAATCGATTGATTTATGAATTGAAATGATTATTGAACTATCAACTATTGAGGTGTCCTATATAAGGACGAAACGGTAGTCCAGTACTTTCAGATCCAGCTTCCATTAACTCATAATCTCAACTATTGAAATAATCTATAAATCAAAATAAAATTTATAATATGGGGAATATAGATGAGATATACACTATCTACTTACTGAATAGTTATCCAATATGAAGATATATAGATAGATTATTAGTCTTTATAAGGTATCTATAGTTTACTCTTTACTAAGATATAACACTATGAACATTATGAAACTGTTTATTACATAAACAAATTGATCATATCTATCTATCTATCTATCTATCTATCTATCTATCTAACTATCTCTATACGTAATATGCAATAACTGATTGTTATAATTTAAACCATGTATACAGTATAAATATTTATATATTTAATCATCAACTTCCGGGTATAATTATTTCAAACAACTATGTATAGATCCATTCAAATATTGTTGCCATGATCCAGTTGATGACAAGAAGGGGAAAAAAACTCAGATAAACAAACAAACAAACAAACAACAGTTTGTATTGAGGTATTTAATTAGTGACATTTGTCTCATTCATTTATGTATATAAACAATCATTTAGATTATTATTAAATGTTGTTAATTGAAAAGGATAAATTCTTTAAAGTAAGTGTTATTTTACTTGTTAAAATATTCATCTGATTATTGAACATGGATCACCTTTATTTTATGATAATTTAAATAGTTGAGGCCATGAGTCAATTGAAGCCCCTAAATGACCTGGTACGGTTAAGAGTAGAAAGAGTCAGCTCTCGCTCTCTGTCGAAATGCTCTCACAGGGACATGTGTATACAACCAGTGCCACAAAAATCCTACTCACTGCCTTCTCGTGGCATTACAGTTGTTTACGAAATTAATAGGACAAAAATCGAATGTCCAGTGCTTCAACCGGGTTCGTAGACACAAAGGATCCACATAGGGGAGTTGGAAAACCCTTATTGAAAACTAATGGTACACATGAACTCCAGTGTCCTGAAGAAACAAATGGCGTATGAACCTATTGTTGATAACCAGCTTTTCTAGGAATGCGTCTCCCAACGTTGATCCACTGCCTTGTGGATTAAACCTTTAGGTGTAAGGTTCGGGGTGTGGCCTCTTAAGAAAACAGCCTACTTTGGTTTGAGCACCGGGGAAGTATCCCACCCCTCACATGAATCGAATTATTTATAGTGCATATTTATTTCGTGCCTCCTTGTACCAATGTTTATGTATTTAAATAAATAAATAATAAATTAGACCAATATGAAAAATTTGGAAACACTGGATGGACGTTTCGTCCCATTGTGGGAACCCGCAGCAGTGTGCATCCACGATCCTGATCGCAGAATCCAGACCTGGGACCCCTGTATCGCGCGCGAACTCCTAATCTCTAGACTACTCAGTTGGCATACAACAGTGTCTATCTCTATATTCAGCCAATCTACGAAAGTCAGTCACACGTCTACCATTGTCGTTAGTGAGTTACTATCTCGCAACACATCAGGTTGAACTCCATTGGTCACTGCTTCTCACTAGAACTTCAGGAATTATACCTCTTGAAGCCAGTCAATAGTGAGCATATGCTAATTAATATCAGAACGGTTTTTCTGGATATTATAGTAATATAATAGTTGAGATCGTAAGTCAATTGAAGCTAAATCACCATGAGAAACCTGGAAGCACTGAACGACCATTTCGTCCTATTGTGGGACTCCTCAGCTTTAAGTGACTACTAATTTTCACGATTTTGATAAATTATTGTTCTAATCAATAATACATTCTATTCTGGTAATCTTGATTTATCAACGATCATTATGATTTGACAAAATCCCATTAAGTTACTAGTATCCTAGAGACATGATTGATTACTTGACCTTGTTTATTGATATAGATCAATGTAAGAAAGAAGGCAAATCTGTCGATGAACACGTTCATTTATCAACCAACCCCATGAACTTGAATTGATAGAAATTACAGTAGTTTATGAAATTTATCACAAAACGAGTCATTAGTCATTAAGAGATTAATATTCGTTCAGGTGCTTTAACAACAATCGGTTTGTCGTAAGATGAATTTATATCAAAAACTAGGAAATATTTGGACAACTGTATGATCTTTGATTTATTGTCTAATCAATACAAGGACTCTAGGATACATCCATTCTCGATGGAATTGAACAAAAGTCCTCATGAAACTCATTAAATATCAACAATAATGTACCGAGAAAAAAAGGTACATTTTGAGTAGATCAAGCTTTTTAGTGAGGCTTGTAAACATTGTAAACATGAACATAGTTTAGACGGAGTATTGATTTTCAGAAGCTCAAATGGATGATATCGATAGAATTTTGTTCTCTGAGCTGGATTGTTGAATTGTGAAGCTTTGATTGTTCTTCCAAAAAAACATTATAAGTATAAACTTTATGTAGAAGTGATGAATTAGCATTGTTGATCTTTGATCTGTCGTTGTCAATATCAAGCATTTAAGATCAAGGTGGTCAGTTGAAGCTATCAGTTGAGTGGGGACAAAAATAAAATATGTATATTAACCCAAATACGCAATATATTTGAGGGTTATTAGTGCAATACATCATAAATATTGTGAACACTAATATATATGTACCTAGCAGTAGAATCTATGACGTATGTTTCATATTCTGTGGGACTCATCTGCAGCAATTTGGATGACTCTCCCGGTCTCCGACATTGTATGAGGATTCCATGAACCTAAATTAATGGTTGCTCTGGTTGTCGGAAGGGGCATCACCCTCGTGACTTACGAAGGAACTCGGCTTTCACCATGAGATGTCATAACACTTCTAAGTGAAGACCTTCCTGTGGCAGAGTTTAAATGGTTTGAATTATTTTTTTATGATTAGTGTTTTTTAACAATTTAGATTTCTACGTGATGTAGTCGATAACCCCATGCCCAACCCTCCTCCTTTATCTGGGCTTGAAACCGGCAGTAGCCCCAGGGGGGCTCCAGGCGTAGTTTGTGGGACTCATCAGTCTGCTAGCCTACTTAATTCGGTTGACTATTAACTGGTTTACTAGACAATCTGCTTAAGATAAATAAATGACAACGGAGACAGATCCATTTCAGATATAAATATCAACAACTAACAATTACAAACCGTAACTAAAATTCTTTATTGAACATTTTTATGCTTTGTGACGTCAATAAAGTACAAACAGGAAAAAAACGTTATCAAAGCATTAGTATAATAATAATAATCGCTGTAACAAATTATGTAAACTGAGTATTATTTTAATCCAGAAGTCATCATAATCAAATAAGTTGATTGCCCCCAAATGCCCTGTTATGGCCGGGGGTGGGGAGAGTTCGATCTCTCTATCTCTCCAAATGCTCTTACTTGGCCACGTGCATACAACCACTACCAGGGAAGTCCTACTCTCTGCCTTCTCGCACCACAGGTGTTGTTTATGAAATTGACAGGCCGAAAAGCGAATGTTCAGCACCTTAATCGGGTTGGTGGGTGTGCAGGTTCCACCTAGAGGAGTTGGAAAACCCTCATTCCAAACCAATGAAGCACATAGGTTCCAGGGTCTTGATGGAACAAATAGTGTATGGACCTACTGTTGGTTACCGGCTACCATGGGACCGCATCTCCTTACGTTGCTAAATTGCTTTATGGATAAGACCTTTCGGTGTAAGGCTCGGGGAGGTGGTCTCCTAAGAAAACAACCTACATTGGTTTGAGCACCCGGGCAGTATCACAGTCTTCAGATATATCAATGATAACTACTACTGGCCTTATTGTTATTGTTTGGCACATATGTATTTGGTGCCCCCTTGTACCAATGTTTATGTGTTGAAATAAATAGCAATAATATTGTTTTCATTCACTTTTCTTTTCATATATTCTCATCAATTTGAATGATCTATTTACTGTCAGATAAACCAGTGATAAATAATGAGAACAGTTATATTGTTATCAGTTGTAGTGTTGACATTGTATTGTGTAGCCGACATAGAAGGTTAGTTTCATAGTTTGTATATATATAGATTACTATGTAACATTTGTATTCCTGAATGCTTTAAGAAAAAAAACACTGATTGTCTAAGCTTGATCTTGATAGAGTTTTATTCGTTCAGCTGGATGGTTTAGTCGTGAAGCTTTCAAGTAGAAGTCTACCTGAAGTTTGCACTGATGATGTTGTTTAGAAGAACGATGAAAGCACCACGACTAAACCATTCAGCTCAGAGAAAAAAACCCATCGAAATCATTCACCTGAGCTACAAATCTTCTCCACTATCTCAAGCTTAATCTAGTTATATTAACTGATCCTTAAGTTATAACCAGTGTAACATTCGTATAATTCTTAATATTAACCGAATTCTAACTTCGGGAACATGACATTATGTACATTGTGTTTTGATGTCTTAAAAAAAGTCATTCAAGATTTGAATATTCTAAGGATATCGTCTTTAATAAATGAATTGATAAATTCTTTTCAGTATGGAGTTGTGGAGATTATTAAGTTTTTGATTGAGATCATGAACCGATTGATGTTAGACCATTATTGAAAACCTGGAAGCACTGGATAGCTATTTTGTCCTTCTATGGGACTCCTCGGCAGTGAGTATTCACGATCCCGCTTGTAGGATGTAAGAATTGCAGGACTTAAGTAGCAAACATAGTGATGCACAAAAAGATTTCCAAATAATAGGGAATAACTATTCAGTGAACAATGATCATCAATGATATGCTATCTTACGTTCATTCGTGAAGAATACAACCTACAAATCTTAAGTTCATTATGATACAAAGAATCGTTTGATATAACCCTTGATGATAAACGAAATTATCTGGATATTGTGTCATTAGAAAAGAATATTTTTCCTTCAACCTCCAGGTCTATTGTGTATAGAAATGAAGGAGAAATTGGTTGAATAACTCTAAATACTAAATTCTACTGTTACTCCCTTAATCGGACCTCAATAAAAAAGAATAAATTATCATATGATTCTAAGGTATTGTATTTAGTGTATGAACCTTTACTGGAGCCCTCCCAGTGCCACTGTCGATTCCTGACGTCAATAAATGAAGAGTATTGTTTATAGAGTTAGTAATGTGACCCCTATAAAAAATAAACTCCGGTACATAATCAATAACCTAAGAAAACCATTTAATGAATAGTCTAGTTACATCGATGCTTGAATGTTTATTTGAAGTAATGAGTAAATGAGGATTTATTATTGAAAGATATAAAATAAAATTGATATTCAAACACCATCTTCAATGAGTTGTTCAGCTTGCTAGTTAGATTACAATGATTTTACGGCTAGATTGATATACTTTTGTTTTATCTAATGGTCAGTTGTCCAGATGAAATTCATTTCAAGAAGGTTAAATGCTAAACTCTTCTGTGTATCCCCATCTGATTTGAATAAACACATATGCTACAGAATAGAAGAATTACTGCACTCTTTGACCTATCTTTCATAATTGTGCGCGGAACAATAGATCAAGTTCCAGGTCAATAAAAGAGGCTGTTAGTCTGTTGAACAGAAATTCTAACAGTTACTTCGATGAAACTATAATTTATGAAGGAACCAATCATGTATAAGATAAAAAGTCTTGGGTTTTGATGCGAAATTCACTCAACCATTTGGATAAATAGAGTTTTGGCATTATAGTTGGTGTTGTGGTGTGTGCTACTTATATTGACATAAGTAGTAGATGATGTTATTCGTGAACAGAAGGTCTGACAGCAAAGAGACAAGAAAAATCGAACAGTAAAGAATGGAAACAGGATCCAATTTGTATGAAAATGCAAGAACAATGAAGTCTGAGTCATTTTGAGACAATTGATGGACATTTTGCAAATTAACCATTTACTTTATGATTGTTAGATTTATTTAACAAGTGATGTAATTTTGTCTCAAATACGTTCGATTATCCCTACTGGTGTCCTTATTCACTACAGTTTCGGTTCGTGATGAACACTCTAAGTCTAACTCCCAACCTTAACCATCAGCTGAAAATCATAATGCTGAATCCTCACATCGATTTATGACCATCATTTGATCCTAGTTATTAGGTGGACACTCTCAAGGTCAGTTTAGCGTCGTTCAAGGGTCGTCCATCAATAATAGAATAACCCTTACTTCTTTTAGAAATATGTTCTGGTGATATTGTCTAGAAAGACAATAAGAGTTTTACGAAATAGTAAACCATCTCAAAGAATTCAACATCTCCATAGTTTTCACCTCCAACTACAAACATTTTCCTTCATTGCAAGGAATATTCTTCAACATATTGATTAATTGAGTTAACTATACAAGTGACTTAACTGGTAAAATTTAAATTAAATATCAGTATAGGGTTGTAGAGATTGCTGAGTTTTGCTTGATATTATGAATTGATCAATATAGGATCACCATTAAGGTTGAAATTTCACAAGCGGAACTGAAGGCACTGAGTTCGAATCCTACGAGTGGGATCGTGGATGGACATTGTTGAAGAGTAAAATATATAAGATTGTAGTTTAGTGACTTTTATTTTAAAACCTAATACAAACGATTCATGTGTATACTGTTTAAGATACTAACAAACTAGTTATACAAATTTACTAGGATGAGCGTTTCATCCATATGGAAATTTGTCAACTATGTGTATCTAAAACTTGATGTTTATGTTCACACTAGGCACAGAATCCAAGATCTATCTCCCTTAACATTAATGTTTGTTACCTATACGGCCAGTGAGGTACTATAGTCACAAAATTGTGAAAGGGGTAAAGTAGTTGCTATGATTATGATTTACAAAAGTTTATATTAGGCTATTGTTGATATACAATCCAACAGAGGTTAATTTAAGTTAGTCAGATATACCCATAACAAGGAAAAACAGTTTCTTACAAATAATGGTGAAGTTGTATGAAGAGTATTTTATATTATCTACATATTACTTGTAAACTATCTAAATAGTCTTCGAATTTTAAATATGTATCTATTCTTTTTGTTAGCTGAGCGAAAAACAGTTATCTTCCGAGGTCCTCAGTCGTATGTTGGTTACAAAGGGGGTCAAAATAATCAAAGAATACCATCAACTCATCGCCGTGTCGATATAAGCAAAGTTCAATTGTATGGTGCACGAAAAAATGATCCAACTTATCGTCAAGGATTAGAAGAACTATCTGGGTTAATGTAAAATGAAAGCTTCAAGACAAAAAAAGAATTATTCATTAAACATACTTTATAATATTTCAAGTTTGCAACTCTTAACATATTTTCTTAGTTAATACAGTAATTATATACATGCATGGTATTGAAAGCTTCCTTAGAACATTCCCTTCATATAAAAACCATTACCTTCCAACTTATTCTTCTAAAAGTTAAGTATTGACCGAAGGAACTGAAGGTTCAAGGTTCACTTGTAAGTAGGATTGTAGATATACACTACTAAGGAGTTCCATATTACGACAAGATAGTTATCTATTGCTCCTTAACTTTTTAAAGTACCTCGAATGAAAGATAAATCAATGGCTAATATCAACTTAAAATTAAACCAATATGAATAAAATTTAAATGAACTTATAGTTTCAGAAAGGGGTTTTTGTGGATATTATGGTAATTTAATAAATGAGTCAATTGAATCTAGATCACCATGGGAAACCTGGAAGCGCCGGAGGGCCGTTTCGTCCCATTGTGAGACTCCTCAGCAATGCACGTCCTTCATCCCGCATTGTGGGATTCGAACTGAGGATCTATCGGTTTCGCGAGCGGCCGTCCAGTACTTCCAGCTTTTCCATGATGGTCTAGATTTAATTGACTCATGATCTCAAATATTAAAATAAATAAAATCTTAAACTGACCTATTTTTCGATCAAGTTTTAAATCTGCCTACCTCAATTACTCTGTTTGTCGCTTCAGAATATTGATAAACACCACTCTTAACTTTCATTCTCAAAAGAACTAGGTTTAGATAACCATAGTCATTCTTCTATCAACACACAAGCGGTTTTCATATGCTATCTGATAAAAAACATGAATACTTTATACTACTTATAGAATTAAAAGTAGTTAAAATAGTAATTACCACTAACAGAATTCAATAGCTGTTTTCATTTTAACCAAAGATGGATAGTATCTAGCAATGGAATCCAGGACGCGCGTTTCATCCTCTTTGGGACTTATCAGCTAGATGTACCTGCATTCCACATAGGATGCACATATGCCAACATGAAACTGAGCAATTGCAGTCCTAAATAACAATGGGAAGATACAAGTAAAACAACACCAAGTGTTTTCATTTTAGTTGAAGACTCCTGTTTCATTAATGAACACATAAAATTCCACCCTTAGTCAAAACCAATATTGACGTATCATTTGCTTCCAAACTTGTTTCCGCCGGTTTTTAAGTTGATATTATACCGTGACAAAACCTATCACGTTATAGATGTGTTCGTGTTTTTTCTCTAATGATATGCTTGAGTCTCTGTTAACAAATGTGCTCCTTCGACAAATGCATTGAAATCTTCTCATCTATCACTAGTTGAAGGAGTGTTACGTCATGTTCGGTATTCGTCAATTATATGTATTGATATATCAGTATTGATGTATATGGTTAAACTAGAAGTGATTACATACAACTTTAAAGGCGAAACTCTAATTTATGGACAACCTTTGAACAAATCTTAAGTGACCTTGAGAAGTATTAGTTAATCAGCAAACAGTCAGTATAGAGCAAAAAGATGTTATACAAAACCAAGGAAATAAAGTGGATACACTTCTTATACATGTTTCTAAAACTTGTCAAGTTTAGAATGAGGTTCAGAGGTTCTAAAATCGTAATGCATGCAGTAGAGGAAATCATCCATACGACTACAGAATAGTCGGCCTCCGGAGCCATGATAAAGTCTCAAAAACTTTTTCAGCTTCGACCACATAGGTTCAATATTGTTTGTGTGCACTCCGATTGCTGAGTACACAAAATGCCACTTGTGGTTAACGATATGATGCATGTAACCAAGCATATATAGGAGTCTGTACGCTCTCTAATCATCCACGTGTATTGTGGTACCTGACTGCAGCCAGTGTTACTGGTGTCTTTATTATCCAGTTCTCAATAATTGTTATAATTTGCCTCAGTTAGGAATTATATATGGGGTCTACATCACGAACTGACATCAACTATAATGCCAGAAATTTATTTAGCCAAATAGATGAAAGGCTTTCGCGTTAAAATCCGTGATCTATTATCTTATACCTGATTGATTCGTCCACAAATTATAGTCTCGCCATTTTATTTGTTTTTTACAAAATTCCTTGTCCCATCATTAAGCACTGAAGTTGGCGCTGTAACCTTGAAATCTCTAAAACGCCTCTGATTGGCTTGTTCATAAATTAGAGTCTCGTCGCTTTAAACCCAAAAGTTAAAATTTGATGATCACCGTGAAAATTCCTAAAAGATCTGTCAATTGTAAAAGATAGAAGTCAAGTATCCGTTTCTCAATAATAAATGTGTATCTATGCCATGGAACATTTCCAAACACATTTCCGTTAATTTAATAGATGAGTATCACCACCCACCCACCCACATATGAAAATACAATTTCAACGAACGATTTCATTTCAATAATCTAACCTTCATTTCGATTACTTCTCCTAGCTGTCAAATTGTGATGAGTTACAGTTGTATGTTCATAGCTTTCGATGATTGAAATGGAGTGTCCACTGAAAGTCATGTTGTCATATGCAGTACACACCCACTAGATAAAAAAGAAAAAAACATTGAAAAATGCTAGATATTTTACTTATATTGAACGTTAAATGATGGATGGATAACTTCAGACATATAAATACTTTTCATCTAAACCACTTAATAGAAAGTCCAAACATAGTTATATCTTTTCTGTATGGGTTTATGAAGATTGTAGAGTTTCTGATGGAATTCATGGACTGATCAATGTCAGACTCATCATTTAACATACTTTGGTTATGATAGTTACAAATCGTTAATATTTACCTAGACATGAGACATTAGATGAAAAACTCACTAGCTAAGGAGTACTTTGAGTTGATTTGAAATCCTATACCTAATGTATTGTAATAGAGAGAGTACCGGAAAAGTTAAAACCCTAGAAACTACTTTCCGGATTATTATTGTTTATATTTTTGTTACCTAATCATTAGATAACTAGATTGTTATATATATATTCCTGATGTTGTAATCTTCCTTCAGGTCTGTCAACTATTGTGATACACTTTACTATTCTTTAATTATGTACTTCTCGTTTCATTCTCTACCAATTACTTCATGATCATTGGAAACTTATGGTCTCTTATTTGAGGTACTTTTCTGTTTAATACTTAATTTACATAAACCATAATTGTTTGAGATGCATATACTATTGCATTAATGTCTATTGTATTCTACTACTGAATTGAAAGCTGGACTAGAAGAAGGGCATACATCTAGACCAATAGGTGTTAACATTTATCTCATCTCAAACTGAAAGTTAACCTTGTTAACCTAGATTAGAACGCTAGCAATGGCCGAAATAGTATACACGGAAGCAGAGAAATATAACCAGGACTCTTATTATGGAATCTCTTCATGAGATATCAATCAACCAGTAATTATAACAAAATGCAAGTTTAATAATTTAATAGTTGGATTCATGAGTCAATTAAAGCTAGATCACTATAAAAAACCTGGAAGCACTGGATGGCCGTTACATCCTGGTATGGGACTCCTCTGTAGTGCGTAACCATGATCCCGCTCCGTGAGACTCGAACCCAGAACCTATCGGTCTCGCTCACGAGCGCCTAACCACTAGACCACTGAGTCGGCATCCAACGGTGTTAATGTCTAACTTCAACTAATCTACGAAATTGAGAGACACATCTATCATTGTCTTCTGTCAGTTACTATCTCACAAAAAACCCAATTGAACTCCATTAGTCACTGCTTCTCACTAGAACTCCAGGAAATACCTCTTGGAGACCGTCACTAGTGAGCATTAGTTAATTAGTATCTGAAGGGGGTTTTGTGAAGATTGTAGTAATTTCAATAGTTAAGATCATGTGTCAACTGAAGCTAGATCACCATAATTTTTCATTACAATATCAATTACCTACTGATAAAAGCATATGATCAAAACAGAAACTGAATAAATGGTTCTAGCTGAATAACAAAAACAATGAAATAAAACTCACTGGTTGAATTCATGAGTCAATTAAAGCTAGACCACTATAGAAAACCTGGAATTACTGGACGACCGTTTTGTCTTATTGTAGGACTTCTGAGCAGTACGTATCCATGATCTCAGACGTGAGACTAAAAGTCAGGATCTTCAGTCTCGCGCGCACCAACTCTTAACCTCTAGATAAGTCAACCGGTATCTAACAATGTTCATGTCTAACTTCAACTAATCCACAAATGAAATTTAATGAAAATTTATAAACAGTTCAACCTTAATTTATAGACGACCTTTAGGTGACGACAAAATGACCTTGAGACAACTCACTTATAAGGGTCAAAAAAGGAGTTATAGATTAATAAGGTGAACTAAGGAATTCAATTAAGGATTTTCATCACTCACTAACACAACTATAATACTAAAATACTATAAAATTATGTGAATGAATGAATTTAATATGAAAATTCTGAACTTCTCATACTTCATTTCATTGGTTTATTTATAAATTACAATCTTCCCCATTTGGGAAAATTTGAAAGATTTTGAAAAAAACAAACAATTCAGGGTACGGTGGCGCAACTTCGTGGATTAGTTGAACTTAGACATTAACACCGTCGGATGCCGGTTGTTGTTGTTGTTGATAGTGTCTGGCCAACAGATCCGAAGTATTTTGCGTAGACAACCGTTAATAAACACTTGTATCTTCTGAATGTTGGCTTTCGTAATTCTCCAAGTTTCCGCCCCCATACAGTAGAACTGTCTTGACATTTGTATTGAAAATGCTGACTTTGGTGTTGGTTGACTGTTGTTTCGAGTTCGAAATGTTCCTCAATTGTAGATATGCTGTTTTCGTTTTGCCGAACCTCGCCTTCATATCTGTATCAGATTCACCGTGTTCATCAATGATGTTGGCGAGATATGTAAGGGTTTTTACATCTTCCAAAGCTTCTCCGTAAAAAGGGGAACCGATTACATATGCGCCACACAATTTACTAAATTTATGTGTGAGCTGTGATACTGCCCGAGCTTCCAAACCATAGCAGGTGGTTTGACGATTTCATTTCAACATCTAACATTCATTTCATTTACTTCTCCTAGCTGTCGAATTGTGATGAGTTACAGTTGTATGTTCATAGAAGACGTGTGTGTATAGCGTTCGATGATTGAAATGGAG